AACAAATGCCCCATTAGTTTTATAGAATTATAATTGTAGCATTTTCCTTTTCATAGCATGTAGTATCTTGTGGATTTGTTTGCATGTCTGTTATTGATCTCCCTGACTAGAATCCACCTACTAGGTAATCAATAAATACAAAAAATATTTGTTGAAGAAATGAGAAATGCCTCTTGGGCTTATTTATAGTTTAGACTGGCTAAAGGCACTGAGATGGGGAGTGAGGAAGAGGAAGCGATTGTTCTCCTGGGAAATGAGCCGGGAGGACCCTTCAGGATGGGACTTGACTGAGCATTGCGAGAAGAAAGAGCTTTCCGATCAGCGGGGACCTGCGCTGAGGCCCAAAGGTCATGAGGTCGCCGATGATAAGAGCTTCTTGGACTGTAGCTGGGTAATGTTGGAGGCCCAGCACCTCCAAGAGATAAAGAAATCTGATTTGACTTTCCGTTCCAGTCAGCTCCAAGCCTCCCAGGGATGCAGGGACTGCCCATTCCCTTCATCCACTCCCACCCTTTCCGGTCCCCTTGCTCTGCCATTTTTTGCACTCTGCAAATCCTTCACCAAACTGAGCAAAGTTAGTCTGAGAGAAATCAGTCTTCCTCAAGGAAAGTTCAGGCCTGGGGTCCTCAGACATCCAGGGGCTCCGTGACCATCTGACTGCTGAGCAGTCTAGGGACACCGCCTCTCCACGTTCGGGACCCTTGTTTCTGAGGCCCAGCTTGGTGGGAAGCTAAAGGCATGCGGAGGAGGGGAAGGGGAGAGCGTGTCTGAGACTTCGGCATGGCAGGGACCGGGACCTCAGCCCGGCATGGCGGTGACGGCGGCCTCAGGAGATCCACAATTGTCAGGGCTGGTGGCCACTCCCGGCGTGGGCAACCGCGGAAACCGAGGTGTCCCAGGCTAGGCCAGGGTCGGTTTCCGTTCGTCGGTCCTGCGCGGGCAGATCGGGCGCTGCGGGGCCGTGCCACCTCGCACCCTCAGGAACAAAGGGCTTGGCTGGGCGCGGGTACCCATCCGTTGAGTTAGAATCGCCTTCGGGAAACCCCTAATCTGTGCAAGCCGGAAGAGGCCAGCGGCAGCTGGAGAATGTACTGCTCTCGCGAGGTTTTCCGAGAACGCGGCGCCGCGCCCGCGTACACAATTACCAAGGTAACTGGGCGGTGCCTGAGCGGGCGGGAAGGAGGCGTTCGGCTAGATTTTGTCCGCTTGCGGGGAGACTTCAGGAGTCGCCTCTTTGAACTTCCGGCCTCTGAGACCGCTGCCCCTGTCCCCGAGGGCCATGGGCCGGGTCTCAGGGCTCGTACCTTCTCGCTTTCTGACGCTCCTGGCGCATCTGGTGGTCGTCATCACCTTATTCTGGTCCCGGGTAAGACCCACAGCTGCCATCCGTCCGCCCCTATTCCCACCTCGGAGTGGTCCCAGCCCCACCTTGCCTCTTTCCCAGTGTCTTACCCACTTGGGTCTTCTCGTTCCCCGCCGCCCCCAGGCCTGCCTCGCCGCCCGCCCCTTTTTCACTTCTCTTCCTCTCTGCCCTGCCCCCAGGACAGCAACATCCAGGCCTGCCTGCCTCTCAGGTTCACCCCCGAGGAGTACGAGAAGGAGGACATTCAGTGAGCTCTCTCAGAATGGGCTGGTCAGAACGAAGAGGTGGTGGGAATGGAGAGTTCTTAGAAGTCCAAGGGCCTCAGGCTGTCCACTTCCTTTCTGCAGGCTGGTGGCCGCCCTCTCTGTCACTCTGGGCCTCTTTGCAGTGGAGCTGGCCGGTTTCCTTCTAGGAGTCTCCATGTTCAACAGCACCCAGAGCCTCATCTGTATCCTTTCTGCCTGCCCACCTTTCCCACACTACCCATTTCCATCAGGACTCCCTTCAGCCACCTGACACCATAATGTCTGCTGTAACCAATCTCTCCAGTTCAGAGATCTTCAAACGTGCTAAATCCTGCTGTTTACTAGGCACTTAAAATCCCAAAATGAGAGTAAAACAGTTTTTGGCCAGGCACATTGGCTCATATCTGTATTCCAAGCAGTGTGGGAGGCCCAGGCAGGAGGATCACTTGAGGCAACAGAGTGAGACCCCATGTCTACAAAAATAATAGTAATAATAAAAACTCCACCGTTGTTTTTTTTTTACCATGAGGAGGAGGCAGACACATATCTCTATTTCAGTGTGATAAGCACGGTGCTATAGGAGTGTGTAAAGAAGGGGTGGGCGCAGTGGCTCACGCCTTTACTTCAAGCAACTTTGGGAGGCCGAGACAGGTGGATCATTTGAAGTCAGGAGTTTGAGACCAGCCTGACCAACATGGTGAAACCCCATCTCTACTAAAAATACAAAAATTAGCTGGGCGTAGTGGTGCACGCCTGTAACCCCAGCTACTGGGAAGGCTGAGGCAGGAAAATTACTTGAACCTAGGAGGCAGAGGTTGCAGTGAGCCGAGATCGCGCCACTGCACTCCAGCCTGGGCAACAGAGTGAGACTCCCCGTCAAAAAAACAAACAAAAGGTAGAAAGCACAATGGGAACTCAGAAATGGCAAAGGAAATGAGGCACGTGGTTCAGAGAACTGTGGACCAGGAGTACTAGGACACTGGAGGCTGATTCCAGCAGAGCATATCAATTCGCTGTCGGCACTCCTGTGCTGCATGGTAGGAGAGCCTACTCTTACCTCTCATCTGAAGGGTCCAGGCTGGCCTCTAGATGTGGGGTAGGCTAGCCTGAGGTCCCATCTATGCAGTTACTTCTGGTCTCTCCTCATATGACCATCCTACAATTCAGAAGTCAGGGCTGCTGACTCTAGCCCTTGCAATATGGTGAGGGAGCAAGCGATGAACCTGAGTGCAGATGCCAACCCCACCACTGACCTTTTCTGACCCATCACTACCTGTCGATCCAAAGACTTTCCTTAACTCTGGTGTCTTCCCAAGCCATTGGGGCTCACTGTAGTGCATCTGTAGCCCTGTCCTTCTTCATATTCGAGCGTTGGGAGTGCACTACGTATTGGTACATTTTTGTCTTCTGCAGGTGTGGTAGCACCCCATATTTGGGGATGAGGGAGGAAGGTTTACCCTAAATCTGAAAGTTTTTCCCCACCCGGCCCCTTCCTCCATGCATGAGATCCTGTAGTCTTTTTCATCCCCCATCCGCATGCCACCTGCCCCACACTTTCAGGGGCGGGGTCTCTGGTTTGGAGATTTGTGTATTTACAGTGAAAGGATTTCTGAATCTACCACCTGCCTCGGTAGTGCCCTTCCAGCTGTCACTGAAATGGCTTTATTCATCGCCATCTTTGGGCTGAAAAAGAAACCTTTCTGATCACCGTCCTGACGATCGAAGGCTACAGGGGAGGCCACTTCGTACCTGGAAGAAGGAAGGCATAGGCTTCAGTCTTCCCCTCGGAAACTGCTTCTGCTGGAGGATATGTGTTGGAATAATTACCTCCCGAGTATGGGATTATCAGCGTTGTATTTAGTGTTTTGTAATAAAATATGTTTTGTAGTAAGATCAAGAGTTATACACAGTTTTCAGGGGACAATTGGGATGGCTTAACTATTGAAGAAAACAACAACTACGCTGTTTTCTAGTCCTGCAGAACGTAAGATACTTGATATCGCTTCTATTTCGGTTATTACGGTAGACGTCTGGCGGAAGGGAGTGGGCGGGGATATGTAAATAAAAGTGCGTACAGTTAGAACGTCCAGCACGTAAGTTATTGGAGCATTCTGGGAAGAAATAATTTATTCCTTTTCTGCAGCTGAATGAAAACAAAATTATTTTAAAAGAGGTGCAAGCAAATATAGCAATACAATTGGAAGGATGCTAAGTAACAAAGTTGCTCGTACGGACGCGTTGTATATTCACCCTAGCTTAAAAAGGAATATTTTTCACTGAGTGCGGAATGTCCGCGGTTTACAAGATATCGTCAGGTGGGATAATCCTTACCTGTTCCTCCGTTGGAGGACAGATAAAGCATGATGATTGGAGATGCATGAAACGTGATTAACGTCTCTGCGTAATCAGGACTTGCAACACCCTGATTGCTCCTATCTGATTTTTCCTGACGATCGTTTATCTATGTTTTGTATTGAAGAATAGAATTCAAGGGAAGTTGTTGTTATGCTTCGCTTGTTGCATTTTTGTTAGAGGTTGTTCAAGTTGTCGTATGATGTTGCTGAGGTTTGTTTGTGCCTGAAAATTGTGATTTGTCTTCCTGTTATTACTTCCTGGAATTAAGGAGTTGCAGTAATACAAAATGGACTTCTGTTTTTCTTTATTCTTTGACGCTTACCTCTTCTCAGAAAACATTGCACATCGGTAACTCTAATGTGCATATACTGCTGGTTCTTTTTAGGACGTGCGAAAGCAATACTCATTCAATAGGAACTGTGTTTCGCTTGCTTGCTTACTTGCTTGCTTTCCTCTCTTCCACCTTTGCTTTTGAGGTAGAGTCTCGCTCTGCCGTGAAGGCTGGAGTACACTGCTAACTGAAACCTGAGCCTCCCGAATTCAACAGATTCTCCTTCCTCAGCCTTCCAGGTAGCTTGGATTACAGGCAGGTGCCTATTTTTTTTATTTTTTGTTTTTAGTAGAGACAGGGTTTCACCACGTTGGCCAGGCTGGCTGGTCATGAACTCCCGACCTCAGGTGATCTGCCCCTCTCGGCCTCCCAAAGTGCTGGGATTACAGGCATGAGCCACTGCTTCTGGCCTTTTTATTTGTAAATTTTTTGCTAGTCATACTTTATACCAGTACAATTTATCATACAGTTATGTATATACATAGATATATTTGTTTTTGGAGAGTTGGTTGTTAAATATCTACCAGTACACCCCCAAGGAACTGCTTGTCACCAATGACTTCTCATTCCCAAATCCAGACTCACTTTTCAGACTTGAGCTTGACCTCTCTTCATCATATGGTATATTGACCATCCTCCCTCTATTTTTTTTTTCTTTTGAGACATTCCCACTCTGTTACCCAGGATAGAGTGCAGTGGTGGGATTATGGTTCACTGCAGCCTTGAACTCCCAGGCTCAGATGATCCTCCCGAGTAGCTGGGATGACAGGTGAGCACCACCATGCCCATAAGTTTTAAAATTTTCTGTAGAGACAGGTTCTCACTGTGTTGCCCAGGCTGATCCCAAATTCCTGGGCTCAAGCCATCCTCCCTGCTAGGCCTCCCAAAGTGCTAGGATTACAGGCATGAGCCACCGCGCCTGGCCCACTCCCCTCTTTTGCACTTTTTCCTTCCTTAGTTTTGGAACAATGGTTCCCCTGGTTTGCCTACCACTGTTCAGGTTGTTCCTTCTCACATTCATTCAGTAAATACTTAGTACCTGCAGTATGTCAGTTACTGGGGACATAATACTGGGTTGTCTCCTCTACTTGCTCCATAAGTGCCGGTGATCACTACTCCTCGGGTGAACTTCATCCATCTCTTGTTTTCAGAGGTCAACTAGATGCGGCTGGTTTCCAGATTCCAGCTCGCTCATTTGAGCCCTAGCCCAGGGCAAGGACTAAGGACTACAGGAACAAGCTCTGCAGCCAGATAGCCTGCCGGGTCCAAGTGCGGTTTTTTTCTGTTCTTGGTTGTGTGATGGGCAGGAGGTCACTTTCCCTCTCTCTGCCTCAGTTCCCTCATCCACACACACTTTTTTTTTTTTTTTTTGAGATGGAGTCTTGCTCTGTCACCCAGACTGGAGTGCAGTGGCTTGATCTGCAAACTGCACCTCCCAGGTTCAAGCGATTCTCCTGCCTCATCCTCCAGAGTAGCTGGGATTACAGGCACCTACCACTGCGCCTCGCTAATTTTTGTATTTTTAGTAGAGATGGAGTTTCACCATCTTGGCCAGGCTGGTCTTGTGATCCACCGGCCTCGGCCTCCCAAAGTGCTGGGATTACAGGCATGACCCACCGCACCTGGCTACACTCTCATTTTTGATGTGAGTAACAAGTTTGTCTCTGGGGTAATGCTGCATCAGCCTCAGGTGATCTTTTCCCGCAGGGTTCAGGGACTTCATCAAGGCTGCATCAGCCGTTTTGAACCTCTTGCTAATTTTCTGTAGTAGATTCCTGTATGTGTAGCAGAATTCTCCTGCATCGCCAACTTCTTCCAGGTGGTGGGGAAAGGCTATTTATACCCACCAAAGGGACAGATTGGCTCAGATCAGTTCACAACAGTATCTCATGGGATCACTAAGAGAATTAAGTGAGACAATACAGCTATCTGTTGGGATAAAAGGGTAGCAGAGTGTCAGGCCTGTGGTAACTGCTCAGTGCCTTTTCCCTGAGTTGATTTGGCTCTTGGGATTCTCCCATCATGGTGGACAGCTGCTGTTTTTGCCTGTTCAGCATCCATCCTCTTTTATGCTAATAGCACCACCATTTTTCTTTTGTTCTGTTTTTTTTTTTTTTTTTTTTTTTTTTTAGCCAGAAAAGCATCACCATGCTAAAAAGGGAACATACGAAAGAAGGGACTTTATGTCATTCATCAGATAGATGATCTTTTTTTTGAGATGGAGTCTCACACTGTCGCAGGGGCTAGAGTACAGTGGTGTGATCTCAGCTTACTGCAACTTCTGCCTCCCGTGTACAAGCAATTCTCCGCCTCAGCTTCCCAAGTAGCTGGGATTACAGGCGCCCAACACCACACCCAGCTAAGTTTTTGTATTTTTTTTAGTAGAGATGGGGTTTCACTATGTTGACCAGGATGGTCTCAAACTGCTGACCTTATGATCTGCCTGCCTCGGCCTCCCAAAGTGCTGAGATTACAGGTGTGAGCCCAGCCACCTCCCTGTTTTTAGTCCATGTGGTGAGAAAGAGGCTAATAGCCACTCCCTCCCTACCGTTCCTCTCTGGGCTCATACTGTTTTCCTGGGGGAAGTGATTTGTTGAAGCATAAACCTTGACAACATATGACTATTGCTGGAACTTTTAGGAAAAGAGAAGCCTGGACACTTCCTAGAAATAAAAGCATGCTATAAAATAAAATTATTGGCCGGGTGATACCTGAGGCTGGGAGTTTGAGACCAGCCTGACCAACAAGGAGAAACCCCATCTCTACTAAAAAAAATACAAAGGCACCA